ATATATATATATTATTATATATATATATANANACACACACACATATATATATATATATATATATATATATATATATATACATATATATATTTATATCCTTATATATACTCATGTAAATATTTACTTATATATATATATATTATAGGCGGTCATTTTATATAGTGCTTATTCCTTCATAATCATGTTATATGTCATTGCAGCCATTTCCTGCCAGCCTGCAAGGAGGGTGCGCTTGTTGATCTGAAACTGAAGATCGATAAAGAGGAAACTGAAAAGCGTAAAGCGGATTTTGACGCTTTGCAGAGACGCATCCGAGAAGAGGCGCTTACAGGTATGTTTTATCATCGATGAAATGGGTAATAGCTCAGTATTTTAAATTTATATGGTTATTCTGTCATCTAATCGATCCTTGTGTAAGGTATTGTAAGGTTTGATTCTGCATAGCTTTCTGCTCTGAGTGTACATGCTGCCACGATCCACAAAACATACGTTGATACTTATGGAGGAAAGCAACTATGTGTGCGCAGCGGACCTTAGTGCATGGTGTATGTCTTAGAGCGATCTGTCTGTGCTATCCAGTCTTGTCGGCCATAGTCCGGAACTTGTTTACTTCCCGCGACGGATTCACGCGACGGTATAGAAAATCATTATATGTGTTTACTCAGCAGACTCTTTCTGCAACCATGTCATATCTCGTCGTGAGAAGTCCATGCTTTCAGCTTGCACAGCTTCCAATGTTGAGTGTATTGAAATGTTTCGATCAAGACTAACATTGTTGTGTAAAATCCGATCACGTGACCAATCAGATTACTTCGCAAACACATCCACGGCTCTCGCCATCAGCACCGAGATTACCGAGATTTGGCCGCAAAAGATATACTTCTCTACATCAAAGCTACAATACCATCAAATTGTATGTTAATCGTGTGCAAAAGATATTCTCTTCTACATCGAAGCTACAATATCATCAAAAAGTATGATTGTCGTGTGCAAAAGTTATACTTCTCTACATCAAAGCTACAATGACATCGAATAGTATGTTAATCGTGTGCAAAAGATATACTTCTCTACATTAACGCTTCAATATCGTCAAATAGTATGTTAATCGTGTGTAAAAGATATACTTCTCTACATTAACACTGTAATATCATCAAATAGTATGTTATTCGTGTGCAAAAGGTATATTTCTCTACATCAACGCTGCAATATCATCAAATAGTATGTTAATCGTGTGCAAAAGATAAAATTCACTACATCAACGCTGCAATATCATCAAATAGTATGTTAATCGTGTACAAAAGATATACTCTTCTACATCAACGCTGCAGTATCATCAAATAGTATGATAGTTGTGTCCTAAGGTTGATAATCTATGCTGCGTGTATTGAAATAATCTCATACATTGCGGCCCAGTGTGCGACTACCCTCGACCTCCTTACTGACTGTGAGAGAGTCCGTATGCTGATACGTTTTTCATGAATGGCCTGTTATAGCAAGTTGAGCTATCGGATACAACAGAATGCATACGCCACACTATGTCCCAAGGAGGACAATGTATACTCCGGGCAAGGTCACAGCCCTCGCATGTTACCGTCTATTGCTTTGAGATTCATGGCTCATCAAAAGGGCACGCGGCGATATTTACAAGGCGTTTCCTGTTTAGCACTGGCTGTATGATTTAATGGTAGACGAATGTGTACAGGTTCGAGTCTGCATACATATACATATGCGTGTATGTGTGCAGTGGTTGGGAATACAATCACGAGCCAATTTCTGTGTACAGCTACAATCCGCTAGACATGTGATGTAGAGCGAGATCTCGATGCGATTGTACACTCTATATCACCCACTAGCAGCACTAGCGGATTGTTGTCTGTACATGTCCACTTATTCAAGCCCGTTCCGCCAATGGAAGGTCCGGGGCTTAACCACAACCACTCCATTCTTAATTCTTAACCCTCAGCCATTAGAAAAACTTAATGTCTCGAAGATACTCATGGTCCTAGATGTGGATGGGTTGGGAGATGTGCCTGAGGACGTACAGCTGTTGCACATCCGGTTAGAGGAGGGCTCGCGCAGTATCAGCCGATACTTCAATGAAGTGGTGGCCTTCGTCAGTATGTGGACTGATCTCGTTCGTGTGCATGTATGTATTTCATATATGACGATGTAATCTATCAATTTAATCTGAGCTGCAGCACAGCCGGATAGCGAAGACTGCTCGTACCATCGAGGGTACTTCCATGAGGTGGTGGCATGTGTTAGTAGGGTGCAATGATTCCTACACTGAGCAGTTCGCTCGATACAGACATGCACATCTCTAATTCCCGATACCTCTGGTTAACACCTGCAGAAGAAGTACTAGATAGCCCTGGCAAGTCCATCCTGATGTGTGGCTTGACCGATGCCATCGCTTGCTTGGCGGCTGCTGTGATCATCACAGAAAGGAAAATCCGATTGGCCCCCACAATTGCACACATCCGCAAGCGCTTACCCGGAGTTGCGCCGAACTTTGGTATGTGATCGTCGACTATGCCCTAGTCTTCCTTGGTGCGTACTATCAACTAGGGTCGTGTGTTGATGTGCCTGACCAGTTGATGATGAACGCTGTTCCACGTGACGCTGATATGTTGTATGTGATGAGCGGGGGACATAAGTGTACAGCATGCAAGTTGTTCGGCTATGGATTCACATGCTGCGAATGGGCTGTCTTCGCCGCAACGTGTGATTGCATCGTGTGCAACTGCATGTGAGCCCAACCTCTGGCTAGTCATTCGGCTCGGAATGCGTTCTCGCCATAAGACATGTGATATCGTCGTATAGTCAATGAATGTTGTATGCCAACAAAGCTCGTTATACGGTCGGCGTACCATGAGCATGGTGGTCTTATGTGTGTACACAGTCTAGATAGTAATTCATCCTGCACACCTAATCTAAGCTGTCTTCAATAATTGCTCGTCAATGACAGCGTACATTTCCGAGCTCACGAACTATGAGAATGAGATTTTCGATGTGAAGGATTCGGCCTTCCTGGCCAAGTACGTGATGGAAACACTCCCCGGGTGGGATGCTACACTCGAAGATGTGCAGAAAGCTCTGGAAGCGAACAAGAACGACGTGGCAAAGGCTATGGATGTGCTTTGCCCATCCACAAAGCAATAGAATAGACCTGTGCATTCTAGCATGAAGCACGCTTGGCCCTCTAATAAATGGCGGGGTGCTGTAGACCCGTGTATACATTAAATGTGGGCAATCCAACTTATTGATATACATAGTGGTAACGGTTCAAACGCGGATATCACACGCCGAGTGATCAGAAGTAGTGTCCCGACCCAACATGCAGAAGGAGAGTGCAACGTGTGCGTGTATCTTTATATCTGGCCAGAACAGTCGAGCTTCTTATATAGACATACAAACTCAAGCCGATCACATAGCTAATCAATTTGCAAGCGTTCGGTCGAATAACGAACCAATACCGCACCAGCATCACAAACTGTGTGCACATATCCGAAAGAGAGTGCCAAGCAATTGTACACGAATCTGATTTCAATTATCCGATACTTGCTGCATCTTTTCTCTTGCGGCCGCGGCCCTTAGATTTATAATATTTGTATATTTATATAGCAGCCAGAATATGCAATTCTTGTCCATCTCTATATTTGCGAACATGATGAGATCCTGAAGTAGACTAGGATGCGTACAGGCGTTTCTGCTGGATGCAACAACTCGTTGAATCGTGGACCTGAACTCCTAACAGTCCTTAGCAACCAGTGGGCATTAGCTCGCCCCGAAGAACAGCCAGTTGCGAACGAGCCAATAAATATAATCGAGGGACAAATCAATTTTATTCTGTTGCTAAAATTTCAGTGTGAGAGGTCAGCTGTCAGCACTTTTCCCTTCATCGATCGACAATGCGATTGTCATCATACCAGGGCTTCGGAAGTGGCCAATAAAAGCCCAGAGCTTGACCTTCCCGCACCTTGTGTTTCTCAAAAAGCGGTACCTGCAATTCGAAATCAGTCTCATAAGTCTCATAATCCTCGTCTAGCAAGAAACAACCAACATCTGCCGGCACGCGTAGAACTCGTAGACTGGGGAACATAGACTCTACATTGTTTAGGAAATTTATATGATCCTTCCTCTCGGTCCCTTCAATGGTTAGTTCTCTCAACAAAGTATGTTCGAATTCGGTTTCGTCGAAGTTAAATTCCAATGCTAGACCCTTTACTCTGAGTGTTCCTAGGCGGATCATTTTCGTTAAAAGCCTAAAGAAAACATCATCCAATTCATCCACTGAACGCAGAAAACATTTGTCCATGCGGAAATTGAAATGGAATATACCTGCCGCTCACTCTGCAGTCAACAGATCCTCCAAACCTCTATATATCGCGTACTGATCAAGGCCATACCAATCCAATATTAGCGTGGTCAGGTTCGGCAGATGACTGTTGGCAATATAAACGGAGCCGGTCGCTACAAACTCTTGAAGTTGCGGATAATACAGTGTCCCACGCAAAGACTCAAACGCAATAGAACGATCGTTTAGATACCGAGTTCTCAGTGACGGGCAACGTTCCCAATCTCGCGCGTACGTCGGGTTGTTTGGCCGTGGTCTCGTATCACTATGAAGCACACTTAACGATGCGTTAGCCAAGCCAGATACACTGATTATAACGCACTCGAGGTGTTCGAGACTTGTCAAAGCATCAATTGTACGTGGGTTTGTTATCTCACTTACATATAATCGTTTGAGATATAGACTCGCCAGAGAGCAATCAATGGTACAACTCGACAGAACAGACAGTTCCCTAGTAGACCATTATCTTCCATTAGTGTGATCGGTAGATCTAAGTATCTCAGTGTCTCTGAAATATACATACATATATATATATATATATATGAGTATATGGACACGTAAATTATTTTATTAATAATTAATTGGTTCTGCTGTGCGAACCTGCAATGATACATACGTATCATGTCGACAAGAGGAGATATTTCGCTATTGGTACCACGAATTGTACTAATGATGACATGTTTGTGGGCACCTTCCCACAAATGGAGACAACCGTTATCGGTAACATATCAACAAAGAGGTCAATTTTATCCTGCGGTAGAATTATGTTACTAGCAAGTAGGTTCGACAGTCTAGGTACAGCAACAGCCAAATCGTACACCTCTTCCAACGTGTCGATGTAAAAATCGGTGATGTCTAACGTTTTTAAGTAGGGATAACCAGACAGAAAATCGATTGCTTCATCAATTGTACTATCATACAGCTTTCCCACGTCTCCAATAACTTCATCCTCCTTGTAGACAGCATCAGGTACCACTCTCCAATTTCGCTTGTCGTGAGCAACATGATACATCGCCCTACACACTAACCGTGTCTCATAAATAGTCTCTGGGGGAAGATACTCGTATATTCTGCTGACAGCATCTGGGGGCAAGACATGTCATTAGCCACCACAGGCTTGGCTATGTTTTTACAAGAGACAAGCCTAAAGGCAGCCCATCAGCTGATCAACACAAGATGGCCCGTGACGTGACTGATGTCCAGGGACACACGCCCAGAGCCGAAATTACGCGCCAAATGCACTTCGGCTTTTCTTTGCCTTTTGCGGAATGCAAATTTTCCCGAGAGGGCCGAGAGCGTTAAGAGGACGTCAATACTCAATACAGTGTATCCTCAATTTAAAAAAAATAACAAACAAATAAATAGAGATAAATTGAGCTTCAAATATATTTGCCTCGTGCTCCCGAGGCAGACTTAAAAACGCCACTGTATAAATACACAAGCGCTATATCCATTTAGGTACATAGTGATGCTTAGAGTTGCGCGAAGTGCCTTCTCCACGGGTACAGTGAGACGTATGCCACAGTTTGTAGTTGTTGCCTACGATGGCAAGGATGAGGGTGCGTTGGATCGAAGAATGGCAGTCCGGGGAGACCACTTAGAAGGAGCGATGAAGCTCAAGAAGGTTGGACCTAAGACGTTGTATTGTGTCCCAGTTCGGGATTCCATTATAATCGATATGTTTTGTGCGAATTGTTCGAATTCTTTGAAAGTGAAAAACTTCTCGCCAACAGTTAACACTGACTGAATTTAACTTGTCAGGCAGGACACCTAATTTCGGGCGGGGCGCTGTTAGACTCAAATGGGAAGATGATGGGATCTATGATGTAAGTCTATTTGATGTACTGTGCGGAACATTCGTTGCATCAGTTTGAATTGGCACTTAACCCATTTACGAAGGGTCTCTCGTCATATTCTCAGAGCGTTTGCAGGACAGTTACTAAATCTTTATATTGTTATTTTTCTTTTAGGACTGTCGAGTTTGCGTCAGAGCAAGAACTCAGAAAGGTGAGTTGGAAAGCTGTTATGATTTTCTAACACATGTATAAGTTTATATGCAGGATATATATCTGCAATCTGTATAATGGTTAGCTCTTGATCAGCGTACTTAAGTACAAGTCAACATATATGTGTGTTTCACCGTGCTCGCCCACACCCACACCCACACACCCACGTGTACACACACATATATATATATAGATATATATATATATATAA